GACTTAAGTTTCCGAGCTTTAATAAATAAAATGTTTAATTCAATTCAATTTTTTCTTGCAGTCCTTTTTCTCAGTTTTCTCAATTTCATGATCATGTTTACATTCTTTTTACGTGTTTTTCTCCATTCGACTTATTTATATTAATCGTTGTTTTCTTTGTCATTCTCTCTCTCCTTATTCATATTTCTCACTTTCACACACTCTCCTGCTATTTCTCTCTCTCTCTCTCTCTATATATATATATATATATATATATATATATATANTAGAGAGAAAGCGTGTATGTAAAAGTAAGAGAATAAAAGATTATAGATAGATAGAATGAGAGAAATACGTACATAAATAATCTCTCTCTCTCTCTCTCTGTCTATATATATGTGTATATATATATATATATATAAAGAAAGAGCGAGAGGTTAAGAGAGAGCAAGAGAAAAGACAGAGATAGAGACAGACAAACAGACATGCAGTCAGGTAGGTAGACACAAAGTGAACGAAACAAATATGAAAGAGGCAAGAAGAATGCTATACATAAAAACTGAGTGAAAAAAGTAACGTAAGACAGTAGAAATGGAAGAACAAAGGAAAGAAATAAAAATCGGCAGAAAGAAAGAAAAAAGAAAGAGAAAGATTGTGTGTTCGAGAAAAGGAGAATAGAAAGGAAAGCAAAAAGTACAAAGAAAAGATGTATGAAAGAAGAAAGAAACAGTTAGACAGTGAGAGAGAGAGAAAAAATATTTTATTGATTTGAACAAAAGTATAAAAAGAATTTGAATGAAATAATAAAAATGCAAAAAATATACTACAAAGTAAAACAAAAGAAAATAAGAACGGAAGAGGAATAGAAGGAACGAGATAAAAACGAGGGATCGAAAGGACGAAAATAAAGTGAAGTCGAGAGAGAGAGAGAGAAAGAGAGAGAGAGAGAGAGAGAGAGAGAGAGAGAGAGAGCGATAATGTTTGAGAAAATGACATATTTCATTTGTAGAAAGAAAAATAAACGCAGAAAATGAGTGAAAGAATAAAAATTTTCTCCAACAAGAAAACAGAGGGTACACATATAAGAAAAGAAAAATGTGAAAACAAGAGCGACTAAAAAGAAAGAAAAGTTAAAAAGCGATAGAAAGGATAAAAGAAAGCGAGGAAGAAAGTAGGAGATGAGAAAGAATGCGCAGATGACACGAAAAGGGAAAATAACATATAAAAGCAGTCATCAGTCGGTAAAATGTGTGAGCGCGTATTGACATGTAATTTATTTTACTCAAGTCTGTAGAGCTACATCGTAGAGAAATAATATTATTAGAATAATAATCCTTCTATAATCGTTTAGATACTTTAACTTAGCGTATTTGGGTGGTAAAAATTATCATTTATAAAAAAAATATATAAACTCGAGTTTAAAAACCTCTTATTGCTAGTCATCATGTCAAACTGTATATGGCATCGATAGCGAAAAAAATTGAGGAAGATAATTTTGAACAAAAAATTACAAACCTTTCAAAACGGGGAACACACCCAATGCAAGGCCATGCGATGCTACCTAAAGTCCAATTTTTCATAGGGTTGTGTTACCCCCGTGCACATCTGCCCGATGTCACGCAATGCTACCCAACTCTACGCTACGCGATCTGTACTGTACAGGTTTTCGTCGGGTAGTATCGAGTACAGACGAAGACAAAAGAACTGGACACTATATTTTTATTTAAACTATATGTATTATTTTCATTATATTAATTACAACATAATCATTTTAAGATAAACCAAATTAACCGAGATCAAAAATTCATTAGTTTTTATTAATAACAATAATTTTTTGGTTTGGTAGAAAATTGATCAAAACACCGGAATACCATTTTTTTATTTAATGAATTTAACTAACAATTTATTACACGGTTTTACTCATAAAATTTGAATAACAATTAATTTCATGGTTTTGCTCATAAAATTACACCATTTTCGTCGAGTAGCTTTAGAACAGGACACTCATATTTTTTGTAGTTTATTTCAAACTGTGTATGTAATCTTGACGTTATATTAATTACAACATTCCTATTTTAATGTAAACCAAATTAAACGAGATCAAAAATTTATAAGTTTTTATAAAAATTATTTAATTATGATGGTTAGGCAGAAAATTGATCAAAACACCGGAATAACTTTATTTAAAACAATTAAGTTTAACCAACAATTTATTACATGGTTTTGCTCAAAATAGTGCATTAGGAACAAAAGAGGCGTTGCGATTGTGATAGTGATTATTGTGATACACGCTGTGGACTGTACGCGACGTGTGCTTGCGTCGGATAGGTGTGCACACACCACCAAAACGTGGCAAGGCGTCGGGTAGCATCGGGTAGCGTCGCATGACGTGGCATCGGGTAAGTGTGCCCCTCGCTTAAGAAGTGTATGTTCTGTTTAGCGAACTGCTTTCATGGTGATTTGACTTTCCAGATTAAACTTAAAACCCATAAGACGAATCCAATATAGGACCTACTCCTACGATTAGACTAGTACTAATTGTACGTTGTGTCCCGACAATAGGAGATTTATTAGAGACTTGTCAAACCGGGTGTTTAGGAAGGAAAAGGAACAGATTAAAATTAGTCCCCGAGAGAAAAAATGAATTTTGCCAATTAAGGAACTTTTGCGCTTACCGGACTCCTATTTCCGAGAAGGAAATAAACTTTTCACGACTTATCAAGATCACGAGGTGCCGGGGTTGAGTGCAGCTGGTAAATTATTTTTCCGCCTTACCAGTTTATGACCGTGGCGAAGACAGGGAGAGTTAATTGTCAACGGTAATTGAGGAAGGGTAAATGGGAGAAGGGAAAAAAGAGTGGGTCCGTGATAGTTTTTTAATTGCTCTTTGCAAATATCCCCCGAAGAGAGAATTCGCTCCTTGATGGCCTTTTCAATTGCTTCTTTAATAACAGTGATTAATATTAATTCGCAATCTTTTATGGCTTTTCGTTCATACGTGAAATGATGGACAAAATTTTAGTAATGCGTGATTCTGCGAATATTTACTATGAAAGTATAGTAAGAATAAAGACAACCAGAATTTTTGTCTTAAAAAGCATGCTATAATTTTATTGCGGATATTGTTCAAACGTGAAACATAAATATAGAAAGTGATAAAAAAAAGTGAGCGAAAAAAATGAAAAATAGGAAATTGATTTGAAGAACCAACTTCAAATATATTTATATAGACTTAACAACACTTTGTGAATCGTTATCATTTCTTAATGAATATAATTATGAATTGGATTATTCACCTATTGGCCAAAGATCATGATCAATGCAAAACGCGTTGAGCCAACAACAAGGAAAATAGGTACACAAGAAAAAAATTAAGGTTGAACAATTAATATACAATCACAAAAACTTTGATCGGGGACCGCGGTTAGCATGAGAGACTCTCACACCGCGGTCGTGGGTTCGATTCCCACCGTCGCCTCTGGCCCTTTTTTCACAATAACCCCCCCAAATTTGAACACACATATACGAATTGTCACATGGCTAATATGCATAGTTCATAACGAAAAAAGAAAAAAAGAAAAAAAAAACCACCAACAGAGAGGCAAATACAAGTAAAATGAGTTTTTTCTCGTAGGTACAATTCGGTTTTATTTTGTAAATGTACTATTTAACACTTTTCTGATTATAATAGGCGTACAAAAAGGCAGTTTCCAATAAAATTACCACTTCTCCCCCCACGTTTTCTTAAATAATATTCCCCTCCCAATTGTTGACAAGGTGCGGTACATCGGACTGTACACGGACCACGCCTGACGTGGAATCCTCACACAGGACTGAAACATCAGGAGGTATTATTAAATTTTTTTCAGAAAGAGAAGAAAATTTGACTGTTTTCTCATAAATCTTAATACCAAATATTCTAATTAAAATAAGAAAAGTATAAGCAGATGGGCTAGGGAATGTCTAACAGAACAAGGGAATAGAAAAAAGGAGTGTGAAAGCAAACGAAAGAAAAACCTAGAGAGAGAGAGAGAGAGAGANAAGGAGTGTGAAAGCAAAAGAAAGAGAAACAGAGAGAGAGAGAGAGAGAGAGAGAGAGAGAGAGAGAGAGACGAGAGACACACAGAGACAAAATACACTAAATAAGAAACAAAGAAGTACGAGAATGAATAAGCGAAAGAGGAAGTAAAGACAGAAGATGTAAAAGAAAGAAAGAGTGAGAGAGCGAGAGAGATAGACAAAGTGAGAGAGAGAGAGAGAAAGAGAAAATTTTCTTCAGAAAGAGAAGAAAATTTGGCTGTTTTCTCATAAATCCTAATATAAAATATTCTAATTAAAATAAGAAAAATATAATCAGATGGGCTAGGAAATGGCTATCAGAACGAGGGAATAGAAAAAGAGAGTGTGAACGGAAGAGAAAGAGAAACATAGAGAGAAAGAGAGAAATAGTTAAAGAGGTATCTAGACGGTTTTCTTCAAAAAGAATACAAACTTTTTTTTTTAAATCCTGTTATTAAATATACTAAATAAGCAACAGAGAGTTAGTAGAGAGGAGGTAAAAAAAGAAGAGGGTAAAAGAAAGAAGGGAGAGTGAGAGAGCGAGAGAGAAAGATCGAAAATGAGATATCAACTCCGAATCCCTAAAATTTTACATATTTTTCATATTTGGCAATAGATCACGTAAGGTGCAAATTATGTGCTAAAATTAAAAAACAAGACACAAATAATAACTCATTTTGAACAATGGTGATGATAAACACCTAAGCAAATATTATGAAATAAAGAGAAAGATACAGAAAGGGAGAAATTGAATGATGGATATAAATACCTAAATGATTGTAAACAGAAAAAAATATTTTCATAAAAAAACTGAAACTCCTAGTGCAAACTCTATTAAGGAAAAGTGCATCGTTTTTGTTCTTATCGGAGAAACATTTCTTCGAGTATCCATTTGTAACAAGAGCGAGGAAAGAAATAAAACGGAACTCGACAATAGCACCGACTTCCCCGCTTTTGTGAAACAACATTGTTTGGCTGATTCCCAGGGCGGTTGAGATACAGTGGTGTTAGAAGCTTGTGTAGGATCATTCGGTTGAGATGACCCAGGTTGAGAAAAAGATCTGCACCGAACACGGCCCGGGGGCGGAGATTCTTCTTGTCTCGGGAGACCTTTGATTGTCTGGTAGATGAATCACAAGGGCGAAATTTAAAATCGCTTTTTGTCAAAACACGTCAAACCACCGTGAAAATTTTCCGTCGTTGTAAAAATAAAAAAAACCAACGCTGCGGGCTATTTGCTTTTTTCTCGAACAGGTGATTTCATTTTCCGTTAAATTAGTTTTCTTTCTTTTCCCCGTTCGGACGAGATCTTATATTTTCATTGTATATTTTTGTAAATTCAAAAATTCAAAATGGCCAAAAGTGCAAAATCTTTCAGGAAAGACGTCAACGGCGATACCGTTTATGGAAAGCACTACGGGAAAACGGACCTCGAACGATTCGGAATCTTTGCGGAAATGATGTACATGCACGGTCTCGGGTATAAATTTCCCAAATTGAGTAAGTTTCGGAAATTTACTTATAAAGTTCATAAAATTACGTTAAAATAAATTAAACTAGTAGAATTTTACCAAAGCATGTGTTAGATTACATATGGTCTTTTGATACAGCAGGCTTAATTACCAGCAATAAACAATTAGCCTATCACAAATTATATTTTTTAAATTAAGTTGTCACCACAACAGTTCGTCGTATATGAACAAAGAGAAAAAATTTCGAGCACAATAGACCAATATTGATCGGTGCGCCCGGTCCCGCCTCTTTTTAGCTTAAACTTTAACCCTAGGTCTTGTGTGGTTCTACAAAAGTCGGGATAATTCAAGTTATGATCAAAATAAAGGCGGGTTAGATTGAAAACAAGTAACAGGACTTTTTTCATCTGAAGAAACCGAAGGGTCACCATTTACCAAATAGGATTTGATGTGTCTGAAGAGATTTGTGATTTTATTCCGTATATCAGTGAAAGTTTTGTCTTAGTGTCTGCAGTTAATTCCTTAATAAGTGAGTTAGTCGGTTGTATAATCGTTCGTAAGATGGATAACGATTGTGGGACTTATCACTCCAAACCCTTTTGCGGAATATCAAATTGTCAAAATTTCATGAAAAGGGCACCACAGAAACAAACGGCATAACGTCTAAACCTGGAACGTTTCAGTAGCGCTAAAAAATGTAGTAGGACTGCTGATGTGACACAGCATCACAGGAAGCATATGCATAGACTCAAGACAGCAGAAATACATTGCAGCATATATTGCCAATAATCGGAAGATCAGTGGAACATGTGCTCTGTTAGTGCGATGGTTCCAGATTTCTACTCCTGGAAAAACGATACCCACGTAGTTAGTAGTAGTAGTAGGGGTAGTTAACAAAGCTTCTGGATACGGTAAAAAATAAATGCTTAATGAAGAGCTCTATATAATAATGAGGATTGCATTAAAGATCAATATTTTTCATGAGAGCCAGGTCGTCAAGAGGTCTCCTTACTTGAGGTTAAGGTTAGGTCTTTTTTGTTTTATTGAAGTCAGGATTTTTTAGGCCTGGCTGGGGAGTAAAAACGCTGTATACATAAGTGATAATGATACAGATAAATGAGTAGGCCACAAGGCCTTCCGCAGTTAGAATGGCGATTCATCAGGCTCCTTTGTGTAGGATCTTTCTTGGGGCTTTTACTCTTTTAAATGCAAGAATCTACACCTACATAATAACCTCTTCTTCCTGGCAGTATACGTACTGTATTTCTTCTATCAGTACTCCATCAAGTACAAATGTCTTCTTTGGCAGAAATGACTTGTCGGGAGTTCAACCAGAATCGTAGTTTTGTTGAGGTTGCCTTCCAATAATTCTTTGTAAGATTTGCGGATGGCCCTTCTAGGAATATCGTCCATGCCTCATGCTCGGAATGCTGCTCCACAAAATTTTGGACATATTAAAGATCCATTTTTTGGATCTATCCTTTTTGTATCGCAAAGGGCTTGCCAATGTATGTAGGGGCAAAAACAAGCCTGTGCTGATATTGCCAGACGAAGAAGAAATAGCTAACCATGTCTTCTGTTGGTGCCAAGGCTTATGCAGTAGGAGATTTCTACTTCTGTAAGAAGAAAAATCATGGCCTGAAGGATATAAACGGAAGGACATTAATTAATCTTTGAGATTTAGTTAAACGCCGTAATTAAAATGATAGGTTAGGCTAGGAGTCGGTGCACGGTTGTGTTAGGTTGTTCGCTACGCGCTTATCGCTATTTACGGAATACCAAAGCTTAATGTGACATTCCTTTCCCACTGGGGTCGCAATGTTATGTAACATTGAGGTTCTTTTGCGTGCGCACCTACCCGTCAAGCCTTCTCACAAGATTCTCAAGATAGCTCTCACCTCCACGCATGGAAAATGAGCTTCCTCCTTGAGGCTCGGAGTAGAAGCCCACATCATCCTGCGGCGAGCTGCCGACATGTCGACTTACCCCGCTTGCCCCTTCCGAGGGGGTGGGTTAACGGTGTGCACTTAACCAGGAGCATCGCCACTAAGCCGCTACGAGCCCCCCACTAAGCAGAGGGTGAACTTTGGAATATTTCTGCTACCCCACTGGGGTCGCAATGTCATGTAACATTGAGATTCTTTAGCGTGCGCAACTGGCCGATTAGGCCTTATCACACGTTGAAGATTCTCAAGTTAGGAGCGACTCACCTCCGCGCTCGGAAAATCTGCTTCTTCCGTGAGGTGTAGAAGCCCACATCATCCTGCAGCAAACTGCCGATATGTCGACTTCTCCCACTTGACCCTTCAGAGGGGTTAGGTTAACGTTGTGCACTTAACCAATGTCGCGCGTTAAGGAATATCCAAAAAGTGGTCGAAATGCATCTGCCAAGTCTCCCTAGATAGAAACGTCAAATCTATATCTATGGGTGTAAGGGCTCCGCTAGCGTCGAAACCTCCGAATAAGTTCGGGCCCAGGTTTCGATTTTAGTGGAATCTCTAACCACCCTTTAGAGGAGACCATGCTTACGGTAAAGGCAGCTCAAACGGCCGCCACCGACACGCACTCGTCCCCGTCCTCCATTCCTCCCGTATTCGAGGGACGCCGTAGCGTTGTCATAGTTCCTCGCTTGCTATACGCTCTCGGCAATCCGATCCATCCGATTCCCACGAGGTAATTCGGAGGTCATACGCAAGTACTATGGTCTACACAGCCTTTTCTCTAAGTAACCGTCACGGGTCTCACCATTCAGCTACTGCGAGTCCTTACCCATGCAGCTGGGCTTGAACTTGGGACGAAAGTACGCTGCCCCGCAGTACAGACGGTATAAACAGTTGTTTTAAACAATCCGGATTTCGAGCTTATAGCTCATCATCAGGTTGAAGGAATCCTACAACCACGTCTATCAACATGAATTGTAAAAGTGAACCCCCCGATAAGAGGATCCATCCAGATTCCCACGAGGTCGGGAGGTAATCTGAGTTCATATGGTGGTCCACGGCCACGAATGAAACAGCCTCTTCTCTAAGTACCAGCCAGGGGTCTCACCACTCAGGCACTCGGAATCCTTACTCATGCAACTGGGCTTGAACTTCGAAAAAAATATATATTTATACAGAATCTGGCACCGAAACTTGCGTGTGTCTATGATTAATATGACAATGATGTTGTTTGCACAATATGCCAATATTGATCGCAGTGCACAATGCGATAAAATGGCCGACTCCTGGTGACCTAACCAAACCGCCATTGTATTTCAGCTCTTTTGCCTAGGGCAATATAAATACCTATTATGTTTTTCCCTTTGTTCTACTAGTCTTTTATATGTCGATGCCGAAAACTGATTTGATTTCTGTTCTTAGAGGCTTTCTTACTGACTCTTCCTGGCATCCAAACGTTGATAAATGGGATTAGGTTATTATTCCTAACTAAGTTATGTGCGTTTCATACTCTTCTGCCAATTGTTTGTATATAGGACCTACTCTTTATTCCATATTGATGGAGCATTTCAGAAATATCGAAGAGGCCATATTATCTTTTTTTCCGAGCTTCTTCAGAGTTGATTTTATCACTACGGAACGGATTTATATTTAAAATAAAATATAAAACATGTTCATTTATATATTTATACTTTTTAACAAATAGCAAGTAAAAAAGAATAATATGTAAAACCAAAATCTTTTAGTCATCCATTTAATAAACGAATTTTACAATTTACACATATTAGTTGAACAATGTGTAAAAAGGAAGAATATAACAAAGTAATAGAAAAGATCCTATTTGAAATAAATTAAATTTTTACATTTTCATTAATAAAAAAAACATCTTTCTACTATTAAAAAATTCTATAAAGTAAAATCTTTTAGCTTTTCTTAATAAAATGTTTAGCAAAATTGCGCAAGTAAAATTATTGTAGATATTTGAAAAATCTATTAAAAATTTAAAACTAATGTTCAAAATTGTTTGAAATAATTTGCATTTTTAAATTTAGGAAATAAAATTTCATCTATCTGGGGATAAAATATTTTTTACCGGCTAAAAGAACATTCCACAAAACTACATATTTGTAGAGGGATTTCTTTTTGCTATTTTCCCCAATCCAAATAAGACCAATCTCTCTCTCAATTTGTCTAGTCCGGGATTTTGGTTCAGCACGTCCGGAACTTTTCGATCCAATTTCTCCCATCCCTTCTACCAAAGTTTCCCAATTTTTTGAAGGGGTCGTACACAATAGCAATGCTATCATAGAGTAAAGAAGCATACTGTACTCCTTTTTTATCTTGATCCACACTATTCCATACACGTAGGCAACGAAAAACATACTTTCATAAAAATGTACAAACAGATAAAAATCAAATAAATGATTAGAAATGAACATATGTATTACTTAACTGTTGGCGACGCAATAAAAATTGTTAATTGTTAACATTGTCATTAATTGTCAACTTGTAGTTTTCTAATATTTGATTTGATTTTATATTTTAAGTCATAATAACTGAAGAGGGGGAGCGGGCAGCACACTGAAATTGGTACTTGTTTAAAAAAAATAAAGAGCACTTTTTATGAAAGTGTGTTTTTATTTAATTACCTCTATGAAATTGAATGGATCAAGACAAAAATAAATCCAATTATATTTTAGTAGTTTAATTTACCAAGTTACTTCTTTCAATTAATTATTCTTTTTATGTAAGGTCTAGATTGAGATAATAAAGCCAGAGTCACGAGTGGGATTCGAACCCACGACCTTCGGCTAAATACGGCGCTGCTCTACCACTTGAGCTATCCTCTCAGACACCAACTTTTCATCTCAACCTACAACCGTTCGAGAGGATCGAATAGCTCAAGTGGTTAGAGCAGCGGCGTATTTAGCCGAAGGTCGTAGGTTCGAAACCCGCTCGTCTCACTAGATTTTTTATCTCAACCAAGACCTTATATAAAAAGAAAAATTAATTGAAAAAAAAATTAAGTTAACAACACGGAAATGGAGTTTTTTATCGCTGGATTTACAGTTGCCAAAAATGATATGTT